GGGCGGCGTCGCGGGCGCGCGCAGTGGCGGGGCGGGGGGGTCTTGCGGCGGCGGTGACAGGCAGGAGCCCCTGGCCCGTCGCACACTCACAGTAAATAAAAGCTAGGGCCTTCAGGAGCACGATCCTGGTCAGCCAGAAGGTGCCCACGCAGAGGCGGGCCGGGCAGCCCGCGGGATCGCGCTCCGGCGCGGGCAGCGACCCGGGCCCGGGGTCCAAGTCTCCGGTTTTCCGCTTCCTCAGCGACTCCTCGGGCGCAGCCATTGCCGAGCCTCTATGGCGCATGCGCGGGGAGGGCCGCGCGCGGCAGCCCTGCCCTCGCCCGGAGGCCACGGCACGCCCGCCCTGACCCCGCCCATAGGCCCCGCCCTCTCCGGCCGGACGCCCACGTGCGGGGAACGAGCCCTGCAGGTCTATCGGCGCTGCCCACCGAAGGCAGGAGGCTGGGTCCTGGGAGGAGGCGGGCCGCCGGCCCGGGCTTACGCGTCCGGTCCTTCGTCCACCCCTCGGTGCGTGTTGCGCTGGGTCCTGGGAGGGGGCGGGCCGCCGGCCCGGGCTTACGCGTCCGGTCCTTCGTCCACCCCTCGGTGCGTGTTGCAGAGGCCCGGTACCTCCAACGCAGGGCCTGCCCTCTCGACCTCGCTCCTGGGGCGGACGGCGCGGGAGGGGATCCTTGGAAAGCCTGTGGTTGGCACGCCCCCACCTCCTGCTTCTGCGTTGTGTGGGGCCGCCGAGCGCGCTGCTGGGGCAACAGTCACAGTTGGAGGGGGACTGAGGAGGCGGGACTGGGCTTGAAGAGCGCAGAGCCTCCAGCTTGCACCCCACCCACAAGCCCGCAGCCCCCATCAGACAGGCAGAGCTCCTGTCAGCCGGGGGAGAGAAGCAAAGGGGACTCACTGACCCGAGCAGATCGCCGAGGACACTGGCAACTCTCCATTCTGGCGTTAGGGGGCTCCGACTCTGCTCAGAAGTGGCACTGGAAGAGGGTGGAATGGCAGGTGTCCCTTAATTGCTGCCACTATGAGGCACTTGTAAGGACATCATTGAGATGTAGGGTTTTCCTTGTTCATTTGTCAGAGCTCTTTGCATATTAAATATCCTGCTGTTTTGTGTGTAAATGTTTGTCCTGGTTTTGCTTTCATTTTTACCTTTTCCTTAGCCCATCAGTTTTGTTCTGGGTGATTTGACATACAAATTATTGATATCTGCATGGTCAAGTGATCCGCTTTATTGTGTATTTAATCACCTGTTCGATTATAACTTCACCACCTGTAGTGTGAGTTTCATGAGGGCAGGATCTGGCTGTGGACATGGGAACCCCCATATCTAGGCCAGAGCAGCAACTGCTGGAGCCCCTTCCAGCCTCCAGCTTTCCCCCCATGGTTGGGGTGATAGCATATATGTATATCTTACAGTGTGGTTTTTTTCAGAGTTTCCTGTTCTTCATAAACCGCCCCCTTCATGAAAAACCCAGCCGTGAAGTGGGACCTGGAAACATGTTGCAATGGGCAGTGCAAAAGGAGGAACCGCCAGCCCTGGCTGGTGCCCTGTATCCTGGTGCCTCCACAGGAACGCAGGACCGGCACCTCTCCTTCTCGTTGTCCTGGTGCCAGGCTTGGGATGGGCCGCCACCGCTGTTTGGGGAGAACCAGGAGAACCCAGCAGCCTCAGCCCAAGCCTGCAAAGCTTCCCTGGGTCCCTGACTGGATGCCAGAGCTGCTCGGGGATGGAAGGCAGGGAAGGACAGCTCTGCCACCAGGTGTGACCCTGGTTGCTGCTTTTCAGGTGGGGACAGTGCTCACAAAGAGCCCCTTTGTTCCCAGCTTCCCCTCGCTGGGGCTGCATTGTTCTCCCCTGGGAAGGGCACAATGGGGCATTGTGCAGAGCAGAAAAGAGCCCCTTGTTCCAGCATCCAGCTTTCCAGGCTCTGGGCTTGCGCTCCAGGCTCCCTCTCTGGGTTTGCCCAGGGTGGGCCAGGCCAGCGGAAGGGTCTGCTGGGATCTCGCATTCCGTCTGAGCTCGCATTTCCTGCGGGGTCTGCCCTCCTGGGACGCTGACCACAGAGGTCTCATCCATTGGCCTAAAACTGGCTGGAGAACAAGTCATGCAGGGCAGGGCTTGCGCCGAGGAGAGGCTGGCGGATGGCTTAGTTCTTGCTCATTTCAGCCTGAATTTAATCAAAGTGCACGGGGCCATCGAAAGGAATGAAGTTCTGACATACGCTACAACATGGATGAACATCAAAAACATCTAGCTAAGCAAGACAAGACAGACACAAAGGGTCACATGCTGTGTGACTGCATTTATATGAAATGTCCAGAGCAGGCAAATCCAAGGAGACTGAAAGATCCATGGTTGCCAGGGTTGGGGGAGAGGGAGATGGGGTGAGTACTTCATGGATACAGGGTTTCCTTCTGGGGTGGTGAGAACATTCTGGAACTTGACGGAGGCAATGGCTGCACAACATTGTGAATATAGTGTATGCCACTGTATGGTTCACTTTAAAATGGTTAATTTTGTGCTGTGCAAATTTCACCTCAATTTTTAAAAATAATAAATTGGAAACAAAACAACCAAGGACAGCCTGCACCGATGTTTCAGAATCACCTGGAAGGCGTTGCTTTTACCTGTCGGAATAAGTGATGTCACTCACACCAAACCTCTGTCTATATTAAGGAGTATCTTGCAGTTTAAAAATAACATTTAGATTTGGGCATGTCTTTCACCAACACAAAGCAGGATGAGGCTCCTGAGCTTACACTTTCAAGCAAAAAACTGAGAAAAAGTCAAGCTGACCCAGGAGGGAGCTGAGATGCGGCTTCACCACCCCAGGGCTGCCCCGGGACTGCGGGAGAGCAGAGAAAGACTGAGGGGCTCCCCTGGGAGGAGCCGCCAGCTCAAGACTGGGGCTGGTGTCCATGAAGACCCACACACAAGCCCACCCTAGGTGGGATCCTATCCCCTGCTGTCCACAGCCCCCTCCAGCGCAGCCCCCAGACCATGGCACACACAGGCCGGCAGGCTGGCGGCTCTCCCAGCAGCTGCGGAGCAGCTTCACAGAGGAATGAACCCCCTGTCAGCACCTCATCCAGCTGTCCCCAGGGCACCCCAGCCAGGCAGCCCCCGCCGCATCAGGGCCATTGTCCCTGACATGCAGGCGCAGCTGTCTCTGGCACCCACAAGAACCCAGCTTGGGCCCGAATCTAATCGTGCTCCCTTCATTTACCCCAATTTTTCATGTCTTGAAATCTGTTTACGGAAGGGGGGTTGGCCCCATTGCTGCCAACATCTGTCGCCTTCTGCCGGAGGGGTGGTTGGTCAGTTTAGGCCAATCCCGCCCTGACTGCCCAGCAGCCAAAACCCCCCAGTGAAGCTGGCAGGTGCGGTGGGGGTGAGTGAGCAGGTGTTGCCATTTGCTGGTTGTTCTGGGACCGTGACTCACAGGCGGCTGTTCTGCTGGCTCTCTGTCTCCTCCTCCTGCACCCTCGGCTCTAGGCCATGAGCGCCCAGCCCTGCACCCCAGAAGGAGCCGTGGCCCCATGTGGCCTGCAAACTGGCAGGCCGTGCTTCTAGGCAGAGTGGAAATCAAAGCAGCCTGATGTACTCTCATTCTCTGAGTGTGGAGCCCTATGGAAGAAAAAGAATGTGTCATTTTCTTTTAATCTTGAAATCATCTTCCGACCTGGAGGAAGTCTCAGAATCAGCCTAGCCCAGAGGTCCCAAGCAGGAGGCCTGCAGCTGCACTCTGTCCACACAGCTGTGTGGGTCAGTATATGGGTTATGAACCACACAGCAGTGCTGTGTAACAAATAGCCCTGGGACCATGGGCCATCCAGATTGTGGGCAGGGCTAGACCATGCTGGGCCCTGAGCAGATAAGGGCAGTTGCAGGAGTTCCTGTGACTTCTGTCCCTTCCCTCCAGCCTTCAGAAGCAAAATTTTGCTGAGACCTCCATCCTGGCTATCCAGACAGCAGCCCCTTCGTAACAGCATCACCTGCCTTGTGCTGCTGAGCCACCTTGTTTCCTGCCACCTGTCCCACACACCCGCCTGAGGACACTTTAATTAAACCCCATTTTGCCGTGTTCAGAAAAATAAATACTTGGGAGACAGCAGAGATCTTTTCACAGGACGTGTTTTAATTTGCCATTGGCACTAATGGCTCTTGAGCTGAGCTTTGTGGCAGAGGAGGTCAGGGCTGAGCAGCCCCCTCTTGCTGAAAGGGGATTTTCCCTTATGACATGTTTATTTGAAGGCACCTTTTACCTTCCCGGTTATACTTGAAACAAGACTCAAGGGCTCTGCTTTGAGGGTTTCAAACTTAGACATCTTGGACAAGAAGCCTCATTAAATGAGTCGAGCTTGGAAGGACAACACAGGTCTCTCAGCAACCTATTCGGGCTCAGAAGGCTGATTTGCTGAACTGAGAGTCCCTGTCACTGTCCTGGCCCCCTCCTGCACGCGGGCTGAAAAAGCTTTTCCCAGGCCCTTTTGTCGCTTCTCCACAAGCTCAGTGCCCAGAAGAGGAGCCTGGCACACGGGGCTGGGTGATGGTGAAGGGGGGAAGTCCTGGGGTGCTGCGCTGCAGGGGAGCTGGGACCTGGAATGATACAAGGTTCCAGGGGAGTGAGGGCCAGGAAAGGGGCTAGGGCTGGGGCTCCAGTGTCTGGTATTAGAACCCTCTGGTGCAAGCAGAAATCCAACACTACCCTGCATGAACAAGGATGGGACTTATCGGCCTATGGAATGGAAAAGTCCAGAGGAAGGTACGGCTGACCCTGAGTGTCAAACACCACCCACAGACTCGGCTTCCCTCCGTCGAAGATGCCGTGGATACCTGGCTGGGATCTCCTTGGTGCTCCCCTCTACCCAGGGAATGCTGCTTGTGGAGACCCCTGGGACCCTGCATGTTTTGGCTGCAGAAGCACCCTCTGTCCACTGTCAAATGAGACGTGCCAGGAACTAAGGGGTGCCGTTGGGGTCAGCTCCACCGTAAGCCCCCGAATGAAAGGAGAGACGCTAAAGGATCTGCCACTCATAGCCACAGCTGGATGCTCAGGGACTTGCCACCAGCATGGGCCGGTGGACACCGAGTGGAAGAAGCCACAGTTGTTTCCCATATTTGTGATCCGCACACGCACCTGTCACTGGGGAGGAAATGAACCCTGGGTCCCACTCCTTGGGTTAAGCACTGCCCTCTCTCCGGAATCCTTTCAAAAGCAAGAACGGCCACAGCAGGAGGACCCCTAGCACTGTCCTTGGTCACTCCCAGGCAGTGTGCATTTATTTATCAGGATACCAAGGAGAGCAAGAGGTGAAGGTGGGAGGGACAGGTGGGAGCATGCTCATCCCTTCCTGGGGCCAGAGGGCATCCTGAGGACGTGGGGCCACGGTGCTGAGCTGGTGCAGGTGTGAGCTGCAGAGAGGACAGCTCCCACCCACGATGGCCAGAAAATGCTGCTCCTGCAGGGGTGAGAGGGAGGAGTGTGGGTGGTGTTTCACTGTCGTCTGTGTATGTGGACTGGTGGAGAACAGATACAGCCAGGTCCCAAGGGGACATCAGCGTGACCAAGGGCCCAGCTTTGACCCAAACCAGAACTTCTGCCCCAGCTGGCCCTGTCGGCATCCCTGAGACAGCTAAATTAAGGAGGGGCGGTGGCAAAAGCTTGGCCCAGAGTCCTGAGCCTCTGTCACCAGGAGGCTGGACTCCTGAAGGAGGTGTCTAGAGCTGCCTGGGAGCCCCTGCCTCCCTCTCCGCAGACCCATCTCTGCTCAGAGCAGTTCTGCCATCTCTGCTCCTGACGTTTTGTTTATGCCAGACCAGCCAGTAATTAAAAGCACCAATTAATCTCGGAGGTCACCCTGGGATGCAGTGCCAACTGCCTCTCTGACCACAGCAGACGAGGGAGGCCCAGGCCAGGGCTGTGGACACACGGGGACACACCAACCCAGGGCCTCATGGGCCCACTTGGCCCTCCCTCAATGCTGTTCTCTTAGAGATTGTACGAAATGCAAACATGGCCTCCCCCAACTTTGGGATGAGGGCCAGGCAGGCTGGCCAACAGGGAGATGGTCAGGGGATGGTGCAGGGAGGGACAGCCTGGTCCCCATGATGGCATTTAGCTCTCAGTAGCTCCTCCTTCCTACTCAGCTCCTCCAGCCCCAGCACACATAGTGCACACACATGGGCTTCCCGAGTCGCCATCCCTAGAAGCCGAGGAGTGAGGACGTGGGGCATCTGTGTGCCTGGAAGAGCCCTCCAGGCCTGAACTGACCCCATCTCACAGGCACACAGGTGCCCCTGTCCCCCTCGCTCCTAGGGACTGTGGGTCTAGAAACCTTGTTTATATCAGTTTTCCCATGCCCTGGGGCCAATGGCCCAGGGATTGGTACCTGGTCCAAGTTCAGCCAATCAGTTCTTCTCCCTGAAACTGTAAAGGCCACTAGATCATGGGAAGGTCATATGGACTGGGGTGAAGCCAGCACCTGCAGACAAGGTTGGGAGCAGGAAGGAAGAGCTAAGAGAAGGGTGGAGCAGGTCAACACCTGGACAAGGACTTGCAGACCCTGAGGTGGACTGAGTGGTGGCTGAAGAGCTGCTCCTCAAGTTTTGTCACTGTGGCCTCTCTCTGTTCTCAAAAACCCTGTGCTCCTTGCTGCCTCAGGACATTTGCACATGCTGCTCCCCTAGGGATGCTCTTTCCTCTCTCTTCAGGAGGTTGGAAGCTTCAGGACTCAGCTTAATTGTCACCACTTTAAAGAAGCCTTCCTGGACCACCCTTCCTAATGCTCCTTCCCTCCCCTAGGGGGAGTATCTGAGCCCTTCGAGAACGTGTGCTGGTTCACTTATGTGCTGTCTGCGCTCCTCTCCTCAACACCAGCATCTTCAGGGCAGGGACAGCGTGGCGCTGTACTGAATTGCCTAGAAAAGTCCCTGGCATACAGCAGGTGCTTTATTAATACTTGGGAACACATGAACCAGCCCTACACATCTCCCTCTCTGTGAGCCACATCTCAGGGTCCACTCGGGGCCTGCCTAGGGCTGAAGACACGAGCCGAGGTCACACTAATGGGAGACGAGGGCTGGATGGCACACTGGCATTTTCCTGATGACTTCAAGGTGGACCAGAAGTTGTCTGGCAAGGGGGCTTCAGGCCTGAGCTGGCTCAGCAGGGGCTGGGCCCTCCAGGAAAGTGCATGCGCACACTCTCGGTTGGCCTGGGACAACCCTGGCAGCCCTCCCCTCTCATTCCGTGGTGGTCTGCATATGTATGTGGGGGCTGCCCACCAGTGCCTCCCAGCCAGTCCCCTGACTGGTCACTGTAGCTCAGGTTCTGTGGGCACCCCAAGCAGCAGCCCCCCCCAGTCCCTCCTTCAGCGTCCTCACCTGTGGGTGATGCTTTGCAGACCCACAGGGGGCGGAGTCGGGACCCTCAGTGGAGAGCTGGACCTCCAAGGGGAAGGAGAGCCAGGGCAGACTGGTGTGGCGGGGTCTTCCTTGGCAAGGGACAGAGCAAAAGGAGGGTGGTGGGAGGAGGGGAGGAGAAGGCAGGTCACTCAGGCACCCAGCTCTCCACCTTCGGTCAGATGGAGTCTCTGGGCACACAGTTCCCCTGAAAGCGTGAAGCTCCCAAAAGTGATTTCCTCTGACCTTGGCCACGAGAGTCAGCCCAGTGCAAAGACCAGAGTGCCTTCCTGTCGCCCCTGCAGGTGGAGTCAGCCCAGGCTCCAAGTTCCCCCTCTTCAGCCCCAAGGCCCAGGGCGTCCCCCAAAGGCTGTGGCGCCCCACGGCGCTGGCGGTTCCAAACGCAAGGCAGCGTCCCAGGGCAGCTCGGAGCCAAAGGGGAAAAGACCTCCTCCCCAGACCGGGCTACTCGGGCGGGACCCGGCTCCAAGGCCAGGGTGAGGGGCGGGTGGTTGTCGCTGAGGACACCATCTCCTGGCCTGCTGCGTCGGGGCAGGAGGCGCGTCCTGCCTGGTGGCCCCCAGGGATGGTAAGGTGCGCGGGCGACACCCTCCCTCGGAACTCGCTGGCTTTCCCTTTGGACTTTTCTGGTAACAGACCAGCCCCTTCTGCTGCGAGTTGGAGAGATGGCGTCACTCTGGGGCTGCGGCGGCCACTGCCCCAGGCGCCAATGACTTGGGTGAACGCGCCCAGTTAGGGGACCGGGCGCCCTTGCTTTGGGCCACCCGGATCTCGCGGGCCACAAGCTGGGAGATGCGCTTGTTCCGCGTCCGCCTCCTGAGGGAGACATGGCGAAGCTCGGGGTGGAGGTTCTGTCGCCTCCCCGCGCATTTAGCGAAAGAATCCGAGCCGCTCTCGGGGACTGCCGGGCCCGAGGCCAACTCTGGGGGCGGTGTCGGGCGGGGTCTCGAAGCCGTGGCTTGGCGCTGGCCTCGGGAGAAATGTCCCCTTTTCGACCCCGCCGCCCCTTCCCTCCTCCTCTCCAGGCGCCCAAGGTGCAGAGTCCCAGAGCGGCCCCCGCCCCCGCTGGACCACCCAGGGCCGCCCCGCCAGAGGGCCTCTGCGCCCCCACCTCCCAACCACCCAGGTCACGCCCGGAAGGCCCTGGGCCCCCGCGTCCGGCCACGCCATCCGCCGGGCGGCCCCAGGGACTCAGCAGCTGGGGTCAGCCCAGGCCCCGCCCCCGGGACCGCGCCCCCGCCAGCTCTGTCCAAGCTCGCACCGGACGGGGCGGGCGACCTGGGATCACCCAGTTCCTCGCCGCGTCCCGCAGACTCGGGACGAGCTGGCTGCTGTCGCGCGTCGCGCCGGCCCTGTGGGCGTGGAGCCCGGGTTTCCGCGCGCCGCGGCCAAGCCGACCTTCCCTGGGGCCACGGACCGGCAACAGTGGGCCCGGCACCTCCGGGCTGCGGGCGAGATGTCGGGGCTCAAGACTGGCTGCGCGTGTGTGTGTTGGGGACGGGGGGAGGGGGAGGTCCTTGAGGACTCGCTTCTTTGCGGGGCTCCGGGACCGGGGGCGGGCGCACAGGAGCCTCGACGCGCTGGCGAAGAGCACCGTGCCCGTCCTCCCTGTCCCCTCTTTCCTTCCCGGTCCTCCAGGATGGAGAGTCCGCGGAGTGGGGTGGCAGGCGGCGCCCTCGGCCAGAGCTCGGGTCCTCGGACGCGGGGCCCCGGGCCCCACGCGGTGCGAGGCTGGGCGGGGCTGGCGGGGACCGCGGAGACCGCGGGGCTTTCTTTAAGGGCGGGGGCGACCAAGCACCGCCCTGGGGGACGAGGCGCACGCCGACCAATGCGGAGCCGCGCGGGGGGCGGGGTCTTTCCGCCGCCGCTTAAAGAAACTTGTCGCGGGTCCCGGAGTCGGGAAGGAGCTTCGGCGGCTGCGGCAGTGGGAGGACCGGAGCGAGGGCGGCGGTGGCGGCGGGCTCGTAGTTCGGACCATCGCGCGGCGGGCTCTGGTCCCGCGGCGGCCGCAGCGCAGCCCCGGTGTGCGTCCTCGGTGCGCGCCCCTTCCGCGCGCGGCCCCGATGCTGGACATGAGCGAGGCCCGCGCCCAGCCGCCCTGCAGTCCGTCCGGCACCGCCAGCTC